AGAGTTCATCGTGACGCGCGTACACAGGACGATTCATCTCGTCCTGTCCGGACACTCGTGATTACTGGTTTCATGCTCGTGCAAAAGAATCGAACCCCTGCTGCCGTCTCATCGCTGCGCCCCGTTACGCGCTCGCTCGCTCTCTCGTTCCGTTTTTGCATTTAGTCTCTTCGCGGAAGCGTAAATTAACTCCTTTGAGATTTTTTGCTCGCCTCTCACTTAGATACGGCACTTAAGGCTATCGGGTGAGAGAAGCCCGGGCTCCTTGTGCGCCACAACACAGCGCCAGAGTAACAACACTGGCTATTCCACCTGACGTTACAAAGTGTGTGTTTTACCTCGTATGCGTTGCACGCTATTGTGTACTTCGCGTATCCCCGATCTGCCTGTCAAAGTATTATTCTTGAAAATTCTCATTCCCTTGCGATGCTGATACATACAGAGTTGTGTTTCGGACAATTTCGTCGAAAATGTATCCAGAAATGCTTGTAAGGTCTAATAACTATTAACAATCACACAGTTTTTTAAAATAAAATAAAACGATATATTTACAGAAAAAAGGATTTGTTAAAAACTTCACTGATTTAGTAAATCTATAGCCGTGGGACAGCCAGTTATCAATATTAAAATAGCAAACAACTGAATAAAATTAGAGATTACATCACTTATAATAATTGTATTAGCACAACAAATTTGTTGATACAACAAAGATAACTTTCTATGAAAATCAATCCAATGTGTAGATCAAAATTTTTAACAAAACATGTTAGTTAAAATGGAACGTACTTTTATTGTTGTAATGAAGGAAACTTATTACATTAGCAATTTTCATTAGCAAAGAATTAACTGAATTAGTATACTATTCATTGAACCATCAAATCTTCTTAGTTATAAATGTTAAACTCGTGCAGCAAGCTATGCTTTGCTGAAATACTCAATCTATTTTTTTTCCGTGATCTAAATATTCTTCCTTAATTTTTAAAATAAAATTTCAGCGATTTCAATATTTTCGATGTCGATTATATGAAAAGATGTACTTGTTTTATGGCGACGCTTCGGAAAGGACGCTCTCGTCTCCCGCAAATTTGTGCTTCGTTTTTTTCCCTGACGTCCCTATTGGTTCGTGAGGTACGAACGTCTCTTCGGGGCGGACACGCCAGAGGTTCGGTAAGAGCGTTTAGCATAATTCGAGGACGTTGCGAGAGGGTCCCAGTCGCCTGATCGCTTGTTCGCTCGCTGCTAACAAAAATGCCTTGTTTTGCTCCGCTTAACTCTCCTTGTTAGCCACGGTGACATCTTGACGAAACTCCAGGATGAAAAATAAGAATACAGCCGCGAAGAATCTCATGGGAGTCCCGTATTTTTCGCGCTTTAATTAAAATTAACATCGTCTTCTTCTTGAAAAATATGACTCCCCTGATTCCGCAGACTGTTGAGTTAACAAAGAATTTGAATGATTAAGAGCATTCTTCCTCATGCGGTAGATTTTTTACGATCTTCCAAACTTTTATTAGAAAAAAGATCACTTGATAAATAATCGAGCAACAGTAATCTAATTACGAATATTTTCTTCTGTGCCGTGTGTGTGTGTGTGTGTGTGTGTGTGTGTGTGTGTGTGTGTGTGTGTGTGTG